TGAGGCAGAAAAAGATCTTGGAGTCACTGTTGACTCCAGGATGAACATGAGTCGCCAATGTGATGAAGCAGTTGGCAGAGCCAATCACACGTTGTCATGTATCCGTAGGTGCTTTACAAACAGGTCCAAGGAAGTGATTCTCCCTGTCTATGTGGCACTGGTCAGGTTGTCATGTATCCGTAGGTGCTTTACAAACAGGTCCAAGGAAGTGATTCTCCCTGTCTATGTGGCACTGGTCAGACCGCAGCTGGAGTACTGTGTCCAGTTCTGGACACCGCAGTTCAAGCAGGATGTGGACAACCTGGAGAGGGTCCAAAGAAGAGCCACTTGCCTGATTAGAGGCCTGCAGGGAAGGCCCTACGAGGAAAGGCTAAGGGATCTTAACCTCTTCAGCCTCTCCAAGAGAAGGCTGACAGGGGCAGCGTACAAATGCATAAGGGGAGAGCAACATGAAGTAGGCAACGATCTGTTCACCAGGGCACCCCCTGGAACGACAAGGAACAATGGCTATAAGCTACCAGAAAGAAGGTTCAGGCTGGACATTAGGAAAAAGTTCTTCACGGTCAGGGTTGCCAGAATCTGGAATGGGTTCCCAAGGGAGGTGGTGCTTGCCCCATCCTTGGGGGTCTTCAAGAAGAGACTGGACAGGCACCTGGCTGGGATCACATGACTCCAGGGTTGGCCAGGGGCAGGGGTCAGACTAGATGGCCCACTGAGGTCCCTTCCGACTCTATGAATCTATATTTCAACTTCCTTTTCACTCCCACAGATGAGCTGTGCCTTTCTTTCCCATTTCTAATGATTCCTGTTCCTTCACCAACCTTAAATGCCTGGCAAGCATCACCAAATAGGGCCCCAAACAGTTCACCCACAATCCTTCTGTTGCACCCTCTCTCAGCCTGTTGTATATGATTAGGGTGGCCTTGACCTCCACGATGTGAAGCCTGACCAGGTTGTCCTGCGCTTCATCTGAATATAAATTAATGGAGCATCCTACGACTCATGACAACTAGAAGTGCACCGACACTGGTCTGATATCAGATTGGCACCGATATAAAGAAAATTTAATATATTGGAAATCAGCCATATCAGGCCAATAATTTGGCTGATAAATGGCCTGTGCATGCATGCAGCTGCAGCACAGCACAGGCAGCGAGGAGCTCAGCCCAGCAGCATGGAGAGCTGCCTCCAGCTGGTAAGTCTGGTGTGGTGGAAGGGGAGTGGGGAAGGAAGGGGCATGATCAAGGCCCCCATGGGGAGGGAGGCGTGGGGCTGGGGCAAGCATTGCCCAGCTGGAGCGGGAATGGCACAGAGGTGCAGCTCATCCTGGGGGCGCAGGGAGGGGCTGGGGGGCGCCACTGGTTCGGGAGCTGCTGGTCCAGTGGCTCATCCGGCGCTCGCCTGCTCAACTGGTGGCTCCCGCTGCTCGTCCGGGAGGGCACAGAGGGGCGTGTACCCCCGGATCTGCACAGGGCAGGGTGGGCTGGAGCCGGGACTGCGTCAGGTTCTTCTCAGTGGGGTGGGCTGCAGCCACAAATTCGCTGTAGCCCCTTCCTGGTGTAGCCCTGCCCCACTGGAAAGAGCTTCGCGCAGCCCTGGCCCTGTTCCATGCAGATCCCTCTCTCCCTATCCCCCAGATGAGCCACGGCTCTGTCTCGCACCTGCCCTGAGCAGCACTTCCCCCAGCCTCAGCCCCCCACCTCCCTTCCCAAGGGGGCCTTGATCTGCACACCCATGCCCCTTCCCTCCCCTTCCACCACACCAGAATTACTTGCTGGAGGCAGCTCTCCACGCTGCCGGGCTGGGTATTGGAAATCGGATTGGTATCAGCCGACATGCCTCCCTAAAAAATCGGCCATTTTTGCTGATTTGCAAAAATCAGCTGCAAAAATCTCTATTGGTGCACCCCTAATGACAACACCACCTAGTTCCAGTCATGAGTGGGGGCTAATTAGCACATGGAGGTATCTGGTTGAGGGGGTGTTTGGAGTACACACATATACTGAGCAGTGCTGAACTGAGGAGTCACCTTGGCTTGAAATCCTTGTCTCTGCTGGGGCCCAGCCCAATAAACTACATGGCAAATCATGAGCCTTTTGACTTTGGGCTAATATACATAGTTTGTACTATATATAAGTGCTAAAGCGCTGCTTAGAAGTGTGTTTATGGAGTGCCTGTGCTACAAATTGCAGCAGTTTAAAAAAAAAAAGGGTAATAAGGATCAATTCTGGATAAGTCTATGGGTACTATATGCAAATTACTACAACTATGTTTAATTTCAAGGTCACTGTTTTCAAATTTGCTCCTCAATTCCATGTGCTCAGGGAGAGCAGGGACTGACAGTAAGGTGGGCTGGGGGGAAGGGGCTGCAGGGGGAGGCAGAGGGCAAGGGGGCTACCCCAGATTTATTTTTCCTGCTGTAGCAGTGGAAGGGGGACAAATTTAGGCAAACTTCCAATAATCAGATTCTATACTTGGGGGTTTAGTTCAGTTTAGTTCTCCCTAAATTGAAAGAGTGGGTTTTTAAAAACCCACTGTTTCCACCATTTCAATTTAGGGAGAGCTAAACCAAACTAAACCCCCATTGTGTGTATACAAGGGGTACGGAGCTGCTTCCCTCCATGGTGCCAGCACCCCCAGGTAGCACCCGCCCGCTGGCACCCAGCCCAGGCGGTCTCAAGGGGTGCCACAGCTGTGAAAGGAAGCACTGGGCCCTGCACAGCTCAGACAGTCAGGCAAGTTCCAGGAGGAAAAAAAAAAAAAGGATCAGGCTCCTCATTGCTTTTTTTTTCCACCTTCAGTTGAGCTTGCCTGTACCAGCTGCTGCCGGGTTGCACAGCCTGAGCTGCATGGGGCCCATTGCTTCCCTTTGCAGCTGCGTGGCCCCCTGGGACTGCCTGGGCTGGGAGCCAGTGGGCAGGTGCTGCCTGGGGGGCACTGCCACCATGGAGGGACCCACCAGGGTCCCCCACAGCTTGGCCCACTGGCAGCTTGCCCCCCCGCCGTGGGAGAGGCAGGTAGGCTTTAAGAAAATGCACATGGAATTGAGGAGCAAATTAAACACAGCTGTAGTAATTTGCATATAGTACCCATAGACTTATTTCATCCAGAATTGATCCTTATTACCTTTTTGCATGTACAAGCACCCACTGAAAGGAAAATATTGGCCCACCAGAGGGCACAAGTGTTATTCAATTTGAAATGCAGCCAGCAGCAGGTTCCATAAAAATATGCTGAGATTAGGAAGACCAGAAGGAGCAGAGAGACAGACATGTAGGTAGGGAAGTGGCACACAACAGCAGTAATTTGGAAACTGGCCGTGAAGAGAAGACAGGCCATAGGTTAGGACTTGTTTTAATTTTTACAGCAACTGTCAAAAATTGTTATACCTGGGGTATTTACAGCCTTTTGTGGCAAATGTGTAAGATAATTTTGTGTTACTTGCTCAAAATATAATTGTTCATAAACTACAAACAGAAGTACATTGTTCAACCTAGCACATCAGGAACTTGCAATGCTTACCTGTGAGTATATGGTTTCATCCAGCATGCTAATAAACAGTTTAATAAGCCTGGTATACCTGGACACTTACGCAACTACACCCTGTAACAAAGGGAAATTAGCTCTGTCTATGCATCATTAAGCCCCTAACAGTAATTCATTATGGATCAATAAGATGTCATTTGTTAAACTACATGATTGGAAAAGGGTGTAGATTACATAAAGTGGGAACATGGGCAAAAAAGGATAGCTAACCTGGGGACCAGCACAACTGATCTTGCAAATGTCACAGTAGTGAAGCTGAGGTTGTTTAGGTGGTCCTTTGGGTTTCAGCTGCTTGTTTTGAAAAAGTGGTTTCTTGTTGAAGCTGTTGTTCGAACTGTTGTTAGCGCTGTTCCCTGTGCTGCTCCATGAAGAAGAGCTTGTGGTTTTTGGTTGCTGTGACAAGGGTGGTGGCTGCTGTTGGGCTTGGGCCTGCTGAGGTGGTTGATAGTAAGTAGTAGCTGCTGTGTATGTTGTGGCATCATAATTGGGATAATTTGACCCTAGCAGGAAGAAAGAGAAAAGAAAGCACTTTTTGCCGTTTGTGGTCTAAGTAAAAACTTATAGTTGGAAACCTGCACCAAGTTTCTCCTTACCAGAATAAGGTACAGAAGTGGAGGTATATAAAGAGGAGGGAGTGTATGAAGAAATGGGGGAGGCAGATGTATTCTGGTGAACCGTTGTCACTGCTGGGTAGGTATTATAGCTTGTAGGTGTGGAACTTGTTGCTTGAACTGGCTTAATTGCAGTCACCTGCCTCTCAGGCTGGCTTGGATTATATACAGTAGATTGACCATAGCTGCCTTTGGAACCTAAAAAACAAATATATATAGTCATCTTCTGGCAAAAATAAAAACAGATGCATGATGTTTTTTAACATTTGCACCAACCTACCTTCCTCTTTATTCTTAATATACTATTTGTTAAACCAGAAGACAGAAAGTATTAAGTAACAAGATATAACTGTACCACAAATACATTAGCCTGGAAAGAAAACTATTACAGGTAATTTGACTGAAGTATTTCAGGTTACGAAAAATACAGCTAAAGACCTGGTTAGTCCTTCTTTTTTCCTATTCTGCCATAATAAACAGTTAAAAACACAGTAAATGAAAGTAGATATTTTTCCTTACCTGTTAATATTGTTTCTCATAATGGAACTCACAGTTGGATAGGTTCCACTCACTCATCCATGAAGGGGCAGCTGGCTCTGATTTCAAGTGTTAAAGGGAGACTCCAATAACCAGTTGCAGAACAGGAAGTACCCCAGAAGATCTATTCCCAAGCTTTCATACAAATTGGTTAAAACTGGAAAAAGATATTTTTAAGCACCAATAAGAAACACTTCCTTGAAGATTATAAAAACCAATAACCTGAAAACATAGGAGGGTTCCTCTGGAATGGTGGATGTCCTAATTATGAGAAATATTTTGTTTTCTCTCACATGCACATTCCATCCAGCTATCCAAAAGACTCACTGCTGGGAACTATCAGGTGATAAAATGATGAATGTAACCAGAAACAACATAATGGTCAAAAGGAAGGCACAGGTCCATCTGACCATTAGATTTTTTAGTGTAACTATTTTACATCAGTGGCAGCTTATTAAACCCTATGGCTACAAACTAGTAAAGTTTCACTAAGTTGAAACTTTTCAATATTGTATTAAGTGAAAGAACATAGAGGGATCTCATATTTATCTTGAAAGTTTTCTGCTTGGAAGCACCATTTCTTTGCACCCAATAAAGAAATATGAGCCTTATAGTGTGCTAAATGGATTTTCTTAAAGGATTCTTACTAGATATGAAGTATCTGGGTTTCACTGCCAGACTGGCCTGTGCAGAAAAATGTAGTTTTGAGGCTTTTTTGTTCATCTTGTAGATGCCTTATAAAAATGAGGAAAGTTTGACTTGGTTCTACCAAAGTAATGCCTTAAGATACTATAGACATCTAGACTGTCCCAACTTTTTGTTTAAAAAGATCCACAAGGAAATCTGCTCTGACCCCTCTTTCACATAGCCACACAGAACCCAATAAAAAAGGACCAATGAAGTGATGGAGAGTATTACTGTTTAACTCATCTCACTGAAGACAGACCTTTTAATGCTGACCATGTTACATACAAGAAGCCGGGGCTTAATCTTTTCATAAGGGATTCCAATATGGCTGTGATGGAGGGTATAAGAAGGTACCAGTGAAATCCACAGGCACACATTTTAGAGGTTCATCTCCTTCTCCTGGTACCTAGGCCACAGAGGTGGAGGAACCTGCTACAGCCTAAGCTTGATGACAAGGATTTTTTTGCTTGTGCATCAGAGGGTCACATGTTAAGAGCCAGAGGTCCAAGTTCTAGCCCTACTGATGATGATCTATGTGGGAATGCAGCATTATAGTTATACTGTAAAGTCTCTATTAATGAGGATATATATGCTATATGATCTGATAAGGTTGGGAGGTCTTTTCTACTTTAAAAAAAAAAGTTTTCCACCAATAAAACCTGATCATATGACTAGGTTAAGATATCTAACCTCTCAGATTCTGCCTTACAAAATCTAGCTGGAATAGACATGTAGGAAAATTGGAGCACATCTCACTTTCTGCGTCAAGCAAAGAAATCACAGCCCTCAGAGCCAAAAGTGGATTTAGAAGTCAATCAGGCAAAACAAGAGTGATCTTTCCTGGCACTTTTGGTTGGATGATATACAGGAGTTAGATTATCACCTTTGTGTCATGGACTGGCAACATAGCAACAGCCTCTCTGGTATCTTTGGAAAATCTTAGAGGTCTTATTTGTTGGACAGGGAAAGAGATTCAAGCAAAAAGTGTCCCATGCTTACGTAACCCCCTCCATGTGATCTGGCAGTCTGCTCTATAAAGCTCCTGGAAAGGGCTAGACTCTGAAATCTTTTAGAAAACAGTAGTGTTAGAAATAGAAGTGAAGTCTACTGGTTCAATTAAAGACTGATATTGTGAGAAATCAATTATAGACAGTCAGGAAAAACCAAAATCATTTGTTGGCTTTTGTTTTAGCAGAAATGCCATGGAAAAACTGTTAAAGCTAAGCGCGTGTTCTGTTCTTCTGCGTAGGTGACACACTGATAGAATGGAGGAAGAGTTGTTGAATTCCTGTGCTAGGTGTCTAGTTACTGTCAAGAAAGCAATGGTACCCCTTATTGGGGAAGGAAGAGTTGTTATACAGGAGAGCAAGCTGTGGTCTTGGAAAGGACATAAGGGAGGGAGGGACGAGGGATCTCCCCTGGGTATAAGGCAGAGGAGTAGGAGTGGTAGAGGTTCTGTAGCTGGACGTTCCAGTTCTACAAAAAGGACAGAATTCCTTGTTAAACAATCTCTGCAAAAGCACTAGGATTCTATACTCTTATGGGCTGTACCATAATTTTATGATACATGTTAAAGCTAAATTAGATGGAATACTGGAATTTGTCCATGATGAGGTTACAGCGCTCCAGGGCATGCAATGTCTGGTCCTGAAGAAGTAGTCATTCTGCAAGGGAATTTCAGGAGCTTTTGAGCTGGTTGCAAAAACCATAATCCCACAGAGGTTGCACTGAACATAATCTGTCTGACATGCTTTTCTACATTTCAAATTGTTCTGTTTATCGAGCAATTGTGAAGATAATGGTAAGTCTGTATCTTGTACTGCGGCTATAGCAAACACAATAGGATTGAGGAAATTGTTTAGGTAGAAAATTTCAAACAATTGCCTGTTGACATCTAGTTTCATAGTTACCAATCTCATAAATTCCCTTTAGAACCTTTTCCCCCCAGATTTAGAGGAGACAGAGAGAGCCAATATAAAACCTACAGTTTGCTCTGAAACAACAGACCTGGAACAGTTTCCTGATTTTTGTTCTAGAAGAACTGGAGTTATGGCTTTTACTTCTTCTAGTTTGTAGCACCACTATTTTTTGTTCTGGTTGGAGGGAAGGGTGAAAAAGTGGAATTTGTGAAAACTTATATATTCTTCACTCACCATATCTGGTGCCTGAAGATATATGTATTGTGTTTATCTGTCCAGGCATCAACATTTCAGACATCTTTTTGAGTAACACAGGTTATATGCTGGCATAAATTAAACAGACTCAGAGAAGACATGTTCCTGAAAAGATTCTGGGCATATCCTCAAGTGAGGTACTGTGCAGGTATTTGCGAAGGAACATGAAGAGAATTAAAAGTTACTGGGATTTTCATTAGTATTTGAATAAATGACTTGCAGCAGTCTTGTTGTTATGATGTCAAAATATGGCCTATAATAAGATTAATTAGTAAAAATCATGGGTTTTCAACCCTTTTTAGTCTAAGTACACCTGGCGGCCGGATGCTGAGTGGGGACGGGGGCAGTGGGAAGAGTGCGTGGCTGGATGTGGAGCAGGGAGGCGGCGACGCCATGCGGGTGGGTGGGGACGGAGCACCACCGCCTGCCAGGAGCAGGGCCGGGGCGGGAAAGCTCACCGGGCCGGGGTGAGGGCAGCATCACCCCTCTGTAGGGCAGGAAAGCTCACCGGGCTGGTGTGTGGCAGCGATGGCTGTCGTGTGCAAGCCTCCTCTCCCCGCAGAGGGGTGATGCTGCCCTCACCCCACCCCGGCCCTACTCCTGGGAGGCAGTGGCATTCCATCCCCGCCTGCCCATGCATATCCCCTAGGACCAGTTCAAGTACTCCCAGGGGTATGCGTACCCCCGGTTGACAACCCCTGGTATAAATGATGTGTAAGGGAAGAAGAAACCAGCCCCTGGCTGCATTTACAAAGTGTGTAGCAAATCAATATTTTTTTATTTGTAAATTGACCAAATTAGATCTAGGATTTTTTGGGGTGACCAAAATTATGTTCCAATAGTTTGCACCAGTGAATATGGAACAGTAATCTTAGAGATATTTATTTTATTTAAAACAAATTTACTTTTGATGAGAGAAAATGCACCTTAAGAGATGTCTTAAATTATCCCTGGCAAAAGTCATCCCAAGCCACACCCTGAAGAGACGGCATTCACTCCTTGTAAAAGGAAGCAACCATATACTTAGCTTTTCTGAGTTTGTCTTTAGTTCCATTGTCCCTATTGGACAATGATGCTTATGAGGAAAGAGAGTAATTTTTGGATTAAAGCAGAGAATATGATGTATGGAAAATAAAAAGAATAAGAAGGGTTGTTAACGCAGTACAAGAACAAGGGAAGATTTTTTTTTTTTTTGCTCTTTCTCCCTTTTCTTTTTGAGTTCAGAAGGATATCCTTGTGACTACAAGAGCGGTATTGACAAATCTAGATCTACCCTACCAGCTCCAGCTTCTCTTCCAAATAACTGGGTATCTTAAAATTTTTTCCTCAAGGAAAGAAACAGAACATTTTATAAAGAACTATTCCTATGTTAAACAAGCCTTGATCATACCAAACTCTTTAGAAAGGAATCATTAATGTCCAATGAAGGCAAAAGCTGTCAGCCAGGCAAGACATCTCCAAGTTTGCTTGCTAGCATGTAGGGCGCTTGTACACATAACTGGGTTAATTCTCATTAAATTAAATAGGTTTAATACATTTAAAATGTTGGGTTTTTTTTAACTGTGGCATCAGTGTTCACATGTGGTAGCCTTTAGGAGCTGCATACCAAACCACCCACTGCTATCTTTGGTACTGCATTACAGCAGGGGGGCGCATTTAAATCACGAATCCCCTCCCTCACTCCCGAAATGCCCCCGAAAGGCCCATTCCCATGAAGCCAGGGATCTCTATGCTAAGCAATGATCATGACCTCCCTCACCCATCCCCAACTACATTGACTCCTACGTGAATCTGCCTATG